CACAGGTAATATAAAGGCTTCACACACACACACACACAGGTAATATAAAGGCTTCACACACACACACACACACACACAGGTAATATAAAGGCTTCACACACACACAGGTAATATAAAGGCTTCACACACACAGGTGGGCTATAAAGTTTCACACACACAGGTAATATAAAGGCTTCTTACACACACACAGGTAATATAAAGGCTTCACACACACAGGTAATATAAAGGCTTCACACACACAGGTATAAAAGAAGTCACACACACACACACACACACACACACACACACAGGTAATATAAAGGCTTCAATAATAACACACAGGTAATATAGTTAAGTTTTCAGACACACACACACACACACACACACACACACACACACACACACACACACACACACACACACACACAGGTAATAAAGAGGGTTTTCAGCACCTGCATGTTGAGGGCTTCTTAACCATCTATCGTTGGCTGGTGTAACATTTCTCTGTCAGTCAGTCAGTCAGTCTATTCATCACTCGGTCAGTCAGTCAGTCAGTCAATGAGTGAGTGAGTGAGTGAGTGAGTCAGTCAGTCTATTCATCACTCGGTTAATGAGTCAGTCAATGAGTCAGTCAGTCTATCACTCAGTCAGCCAGTTAGTCAATGAGTCAGTTAGTCTGTTAAGTCTACGAGTTTGTTAAGTCCATTTTCAGTCAATCTGTCAATCACTCAATCAGTCTTTTGGTCAGTCAGTCAGTCATTCTATTCACCAGTCAGTCAGAATTCCTATGCACAGGAGGAGATGTAAAACGAAACACTAAAAAGCAAAACCAGAAGTTGTCGCTGCAACACTTGTAAGATTAATTTAAGTTGGGGGAGGTGAAGGAGCGGTGGTGGAGTAGTCGTGGATTAGTGGTGGAGGAACTGGTGGTGGTGGTAATGGTGGAAGTGGTGGTGGTAATGGTGGTGGTGGTAATGGTGGTGGTGGCATGGTGGAGGAACTGCGCAGTGGTGGTGGTAATGGTGAAGTGGTGGAGGTACGGTAGGTACGCGGGTGTTGGTGGTAATGGTGGTGGTGGTGGTGGTAATGGTGGTAATGGTGGTGGGTGGTAGTGGTGGTGGTAATGGTGGTAGTGATAATGGTGGTAGTGGTGGTGGTAATGGTGGTGGTAATGGTGGTGGTGGTAATGGTGGAAGTGGTGGTATGGTGGTAGTGGTGGTGGCATGGTGGTAGTGTGGTGGTAATGGTGGTGGTGGTAATGGTGGTGCGGGGTGTGTAATGGTAGTGGTGGTGGTAATGGTGGTAGTGTGGTGGTACGGTGGTAGTGTGGTGGTAATGGTGGTGGTGGTAATGGTGGTAGTGGTGGTGGAAAAGCTTCAAGAAGACAACTTTCATCTGAGGTTTGTTGGATCTGCTTTAACTTTTAGTAATCAAATCTGTGAAAATTTGTCCCGGGAATGTGGCGGTATAAGTCGTGGTGGTACCCGACCCGACCCGACCCGACCCGACCCGACCCGACCCGCAGCCTCACCACCTATCCCACTAAGTACTATATTAACCAAACACATCAAAGCAAATTAAACTTCAACCAAAAACAACCACAATTTCAACCGTACAACAACAACAACCACAACAAACACCTACTTTACAACCACAACCTTGATGTCTTAAACTAGTAACAGTGACAGTACCTTTAAGACATATGTACAGTGTGTTTATTAATAATTACTAATACAACCCGGATATAAACGACATAATCACATTACTTATGATATCACAACCCGGATATATATATATAACACATCATTTACATTATCGTACACAAACCTCCATACACAAACACTAAAAAAAACACACACACACAAAATAACCCCACAAACATACAAACACCGCAAGATGTTTTCCCCTTAAAAGTAATTTGTTCCTGATTGTTTTGATGACTCAGCCAAAAATTAAGGTAAAAAACTGGTGGTAATAGTCGGCATTACACTTATATTTCCATTAAGAATCATATCAGTAAAAAAAAAAAAATGTATATTAAACTACCTGGGATCGATCCATGGTCCGTGTATGGTGTGACTCAGTGTGTTAATGTGACTTCAAAAAATAGTTCCGGGTTGACTTACTTTACAGGTTTATGGTCAATAAGAGGAAAAAAAAAGTGTGGAGCTATTGACACACACACACACACACACACACACACACACACGCACACACTAAAAGAAACACAATGCTTTCAATTTTGCAACTTGTTTATGACACCTTTTAAAAACTTCTCACTGTCGTCCCCTCCCCCTACCCCCCACCCTACACCTCACCCTCTCCCTCCCTCTGTACTGCTTCACTTAACTTAATATCTGTTAGTACGGTGCGGGTCAGGAAGTAACTGCCACCACCAATCACCCCGGGCAGTGTCTCTAGGGGGGTTGAGGACTGACAGATGGTGAGGGAAGGTTCTGTATATAATTACTGATTACCTCACTGAAAACATGGTGCGGTGGCTGAGTGGATACAATACTCAACTACTGTCCTAAAGGTCGCTGGATTAGCCATTCGGTATCCTTAGTTCACCCAACTGTGAATGGGTACCTAACTTTACAGATGAGAATGTGCAAGACGATCTAGTGCAGTGCCGGTCATATTTGTGTACAGAAGGTATAACTAACACACACACACACACACACACACACACACACACACACACACACACACAGAGCCGCACCGTAAAGGACCCTCAAGACAATAGAACCAGTGTCCAATGTTATTAAAAAACAGTGTGAGCTAAAAATGAATATAATTAAAAATACCTGGTTTAATTACTTATGACAGCTAAGTCTACCTGGGGGGTCTTATACTGACAATACAGGTGGACTGGAGGCTGTAATTAAAGGTATATCCACCAGGTAACCATAAAACATTGTTGATATGATTATTATAAGATTTAACCACCAACGTGATTTCTTATATAATTATTTTTCATTCGTTATTATAATTGAAAAACAAAAACTTCGATATCATTAAAATATTCTCCCTAGTCAGAATTCTTATATATAAAACTCAAGAGAAAAATGTCATGTTGGTTGGCGTGATTATAAGACAATGATGAGGTAGTTGGTGGTGAAGCATGTAGCACGAGGTGATCCAGGCTTGTGGTTAGCATTTAAAGTTTTTGTTTGCTTTTATGAGATTGACCCCAAAAAATAAATCTAGGAATCAAATTACTGATGAAATATTAAGCTATCATTTCTGGCCTTCGTGTGTCTGTCTGTCTGTCTGTCAATATGTGTGTGTACAGGAGACGTTAATAGTGTGTGAATATGTGTGTACAGTAGTTAGGTTAGGTTAGGTTAGGCTAGGTTAGGCTAGGTTAGATAAGGTTAGGTTAGGTGTTCTGATCATGACTTTAACCCTGGATGGTATACCGCTGTCCCTGGGGGCGTATCGACACATCTCCCTCCCGACCTTCGACATATCTTCCCCCTCCAGGAGCAAAGGTAAAAAATTGACACACACACACACACACACACACACACACACACACACACACACACACACACACACACACACACACACACCCTTTAATTAACAACATAACCCTGACTTTAAATATATTTTCAATAATCTATATAATTCAGGATTACATAACCTTGTAATTAAATGGACATCATTACTGAATTATCTCGACACATTTTTGCTGTTGATGTGAGAACGAAAGATTAAATGCGTGTTTTCTGATGCAAATATTATTATTCGTCTTTTTTTACCCCTTGTGGATCATTCAAGCTTCCCAATACAGGAATAATACTCGTACGTAAGGGCTGTTGAACTGGTTTTACGTAACCTGATATTGTATTATATATCCGGGTCGCAGAGGCCCACAGCTGGACATAACAACGGTGAAAATAAATGAAACTTTGTTGGTATGTTCGTGTGAAATGTTGGTGATGGTGGTGGTGATGGTGACAGTGGTAGTAAGGATGGTGGTAATGGTGGTGGTAAGGATGGTGGTAGTGTGGTGGTAAGGATGGTGGTAGTGGTGGTAAGGATGGTGATAGTGGTGGTGGTAAGGATGGTGGTAGTGGTGGTGGTAAGGATGGTGGTAGTGGTGGTAAGGATGGTGATAGTGGTGGTGGTAAGGATGGTGGTAGTGGTGGTGGTAGGATGTGAACAGTAGTGGTGAATTGAGTAGGATGGTGGTAGTGGTGGTGTGGGATGGTGTGGTAGTGGTGGTGTAGTGGGATGGTGGTAGTGAAAGGTGGTAAGGATGGTGATAGTGGTGAATTGGTAAGGATGGTGGTAATGGTGGTGGTGGGATGGTGGTCGTGTGGTGGTAGGATGGTGGTGAGTGGTGGTAAGGATGGTATTAATTAATTGGTGGTAAGGATGGTGGTAGTGGTGGTGGTAAGGATGATGGTGGTAGTGGTGGTAGGATGGTGATAATTAATTGGTGGTAGGATGGTGGTAGTGGTGGTGGTAAGGATGGTGGTAGTGGTGGTGGTAAGGATGGTGGTAGTGGTGGTGGTAAGGATGGTGGTAGTGGTGGTAAGGATGGTGATAGTGGTGTCATTTGCGGGTAGTGGTCTGGCAACACGTTACGCTATCGATCGTTTTGACACTGTCGGAGAGTTCAACTACCTCATACATTCACACGGTCATGCACACAGCTACCCACACACACATACAGTCATGCACACAGCTACCCACACACACATACAGTCATGCACACAGCTACCCACACATACATAGTCATGCACACAGCTACCCACATACATACAGTCATACACACAGCTACCCACACACACAGTCATGCACACAGCTACCCACACATACACACGGTCACATACACACAGCTACCCCACACACACACACGGTCATACACACTGCTACCCACACATACACACGGTCATGCACATGCGTTTTGATACTCCTGTTCGACGCATTGTACAGCACCATCAGCCATGCACTTGGGTTTTGATATGACCAATTTAATTCAATTACCCAACCCCCCCCCGTCCTCATACCCGTGCGTTCCGGCAATATTGGTGCATTCTGTGTAAAACCCATGCACATGCGTCTTAGTGAACAGTCATGCATGCGATTTGATATTATCACTAGATTTAACCACATAAGTCATGCACATGCTTCCTAACCTAACCTAACCTAACCCCTGTTCATAGGTCATGCACACATCACCCGACACTGAAGGAGAGCCTGGCCACACACACACACACACACTACACACACACACACACAGGGGTTGATACAGCCGATAGACAACACACTCTACACCTCCAACAACACACCCTACACCTCAACAACACACCCCTACACCTCAACAACACACCTACACCTCAATAACACTACACCTCAACAACACACCCTACACCTCAACAACACACCCCTACACCTCAACAACACACCTACACCTCAACAACACACTCTACACCTCTAACCTTACCCCTACACCTCAACAACACACCTATACCTCAACAACACACCCTACACCTCAACCTTACACCCCACACCTCCAACAACACTTACACCTACACCTCCAACAACACACCTACCTCAACAACACACCCTACACCTCAACAACACACCCTACACCTCCAACAACACACCCTACACCTCAACAACACACCCTACACCTCAACAACACACCTACACCTCCAACAACACACCTACACACCTCCAACAACACACCCTACACCTCAACAACACCCTACACCCCAACAACACACCCTACACCTCAACAACACACCCTACACCTCAACAACACACCCTACACCTCAACAACACACCCTACACCTCAACAACACACCCTACACCTCAACAACACACCCTACACCTCAACAACACACCCTACACCTCAACAACACACCCTACACCTCAACAACACACTCTACACCTCAACAACACACCCTACACCTCAACAACACACCCTACACCTCAATACGTCATGCATTTGTTCGCAGAGTTTGTGACTGCAATCCGCATAATTTTGCGGACATTTGCATACCGATCTCTTTCTCATGCACCGAGTACACATACAGAATATAAAGAGAATACATAGAGATTATACAGAATATACATGGAGATTATGCAGAATATACACTACTTATAAGAACTCACTGCTTGTAAATATGAGGTTTGTGGTTATTAAATACACAATACAGTTTGTAAATAAAAGAGAAGTAATTACCAGCATGATTTATAGTGTGTAAATCAGTGATATATATATATATAAATTATACACAATCCATAAAGATAAAACGCTAATCCAAATCCCTGTATTAACCTGGTCTTCTATTACCTAATCCTTGCTCAGAACTTGTCTAATCCTTTCTCTAATCCTTCACCTAACTTAAGTCTTCCCAGGAACCTCGACCAATCTTTACCCAAGTTACGTCGAACCCTTGTCTAATCCCCTCCAATTCCTGGCTCCCTCTTCTTGATTTGCCAATCCTTGTCCCAAGTTATCCGATTTGTAGCCCAACTCTCAACCTAAACTCGCCAATTCCTTGTCGCTCAAACTCGCCAATTCCTCCTCGCCCAAAACTCGTCAATTCCTCCTCGCCCAAAACTCGCCAATTCCTCCTCGCCCAAAACTCGCCAATTCCTCCTCGCCCAAAACTCGCTAATTCCTCCTCGCCTAAAACTCGCCAATTCCTCCTCGCCCAAAACTCGCCAATTCCTCTTCGCCCTGGCAGGCCCGTGTCTCCAGTCCGTTCATCACCTGGCTGCCGCTGGTCGATGTACAGTTGTAGACAAACACAGAAATCTTGTTCGTGTTTTGATCTCTGCAGTCACGTACGGTTGAGTGTACAGAGGTGGCGTGAAGATAATGGTGTGGTGTGGCGTGAAGATAATGGTGTGGTGTGGCGTGAAGATAATGGTGTGGTGTGAAGACAGTGGTGTGGTGGTGAAGAAGACAGGTGTGATGGTGTGGTGGTGTGCCGTGAAGGCAGTGGTGTGGTGGTGGCGTGAAGACAATGGTGTGATGTGAAGACAGTGGTGTGGTGGTGACGATAAGAGTGTGGAGGAGGAAGAATGAGTTGGAGGAGGAGGAGGAGGATAAGCCATAAACAGCCATACCCCTTGTGGTCAGACATGGTCCCTCCCTCCCCTCCTTGTTATTCATGTCTGCTGAGCCATAAACGCTATTTTCGACTCACTCGACCAACCCACGACAAAGTGCTATTTAATTCCCGGCCCTTAAGTTATGTTGTGCAAGGAGAGAGAGAGAGAGAGAGAGAGAGAGAGAGAGAGAGAGAGAGAGAAATCAATATATATATATATATATATATATATATATATATATATATATATATATATATATATATATATATATATATATATATATATATATATATATATATATAGATATATATAGATATATATAGATATATATATAAATACACAGTATATATATTTCCAGGTTCACATTGCTAACACGAGAAACTGGAGACTGCCACCCCATCGACCCAGCCAATGGTTTAAGCTTCAAATCCCCGCTAACGAAGGAAAGGAAGGAAAGGGAGGGAGGGAAAGGGGAGAGAAGAGAGGTAGGAAGGGAAGAGAAGAGAGGTAGGAAGAAAAGGGAGGAAGGGGAGAGAGGAGAGGGAGGAAAGGGGAGAAAGGAGAGAAGAGGGAGGAGAAAGAGAAGAGAGGGAGAAATGGAAGAGAGAGGGAGAAAGGGAAGAGAGAGGGGAGGGGAGAGGTGGGCGTAAGGAAGACCAGGCCAAACATACCCCCTCCTACCTTTAGAATTATCATCATCTTATATCAATAACTTCCATCAAGTAGGTTGTAAAGCTTCTCACCTGTCCCACCACTAATAAAGGGACACACACACACACACACACACACACACACACACACACACACCTGTCTTTCTTCATTAGGCTCTATGATTATATACGACTTGGGGGACAAATTTGATTTCTATCGCGAGGATCACCTGTAGATTTGTCCCCACGTTAATTAGTTTCACCCGAGGATTAACTACCTGAACCTAACTCAACTCGAACTACCTCCTAGGTGTAAAAAGCCCTCCGCACAAAAGCTTCCATCAAAGCACCACCCCCAACAAAAAGCTTCACCCCCATCAAAAACTTCTCCTGCAAAAAAAGCCCAAAACAAATAATTAAATCATCGATCCAAAAAGTACCCAGAGGAGAAACACCAAGGGATAAACTATAACAGTTATTTTTTTTTTTCTTTTATTTTTGTTTTTACTTTTATTTTCCTATACTTTTCTTTTTCTTTTACTTTTATTTTTCCAGCGTAGTGAAGAAAAACGTTCATTCACTTTTTTTAACGAAGACAGAATTATTTTTGTTTTTTCCCTTTGGGGAAGGGTAAGGGGGGGGTAAGGGTGGTGTAAGGAGATGTAAGGGGGTGTAAGGAGGGGTAAGGGGGATATAAGATTGGTAATGGGGGTATAAGAAGGGTGATGTAATGGGGAATAATAATGGGGGTGTAAGGAGGGGGTGTAAGGAGGGGGTAAGGAGGGGGTGTAAGGAGGGGAAGCACAGCACAAAGCAAAATGGGTTACGTCATCGGAAAGCACATCAAAAGGTTTTAGAAGATACTGAAGAGAGGCTTACACACACAAGTCCAACAGGAAGGAGGAGGAGGAAGAAGAAGAAAGAGGAGTAGGAAGATGAAAAGGAGGAGGAAGAGGAGGAAGAGGGGGAGAAAGAGAGGAGGAGAAAGAAGAAAGAGGAGTAAGAAGACAAGGAGGAGGAAGAGGAGGAAGAGGGGAGAAAGAAGAAAAAAGAATAGGAGGAACAGAGGTTGGAGAAGGAATAAGAGAAACAGACAGACAGACAGACAGACAGACAGGTGAGCTAGGACACCATCAACACCCCCAGACAGACAGACAGACAGACAGACAGACAAACACACGATACTCATATGAAACCCAACGAGCCGTGAAAAATTCTCATTGTTTGTAACTAAGTGTAATGCAATTTGTTCCTGTGCAACTAAATATACCAAACGTTTTTACCGAGACACTGAGGCGAGCAGCACCATGATGGTATGTGTTGGATATAGGAGTCACGTGAAGATTAGCCACCCCACCAGCTTAATTTCACCCTATGATTAGCTAATAACCTAACCTAAACTAACTGAATCTAATCTAACCTAACCCTAACGTAAAGTAACCTAACCTAACCTAACCTAACCTAAGCTCTCTTCTTTCCTTCCTCACCTCTTCTATCATTCCTTCCCTCCTTCCTTCCCTCCTTCCTTCCTTCCTTCCCTCCCTCCCTCCCTCCTTCCTTCCTCCTCCTTCCTCCTCCCTCCTCCTTTTCCCTCCTCCTTTCCTCCTCCTCCTTCCTTCCTTCCTCCCTCCCTCACAGTCAGACATCAGTATCAACTCAACACCTAAAAACACATTTGCAACTTTTAAAATGAAATTGATATTTTTTTTTGAGCGCTTGTAATGTTGGGAACAAAAAAAGACCACATTATCTGATGACAGCTTGTTGCCTAATGAGTCTCTTTGTGAATATAACACTAATGATTAATATTTTTTCGGGAGGAGGGGAGGGGAGGGGGAGGGAGGGGGGAGGGGAGGGAGGGAGGGGAGGGGAGGGGAGGGAGGGGGAGGGGAGGGGAGGAGGAGGGGGTGGGAGGAGGGGGTAGGAGGAAGGGGGAGTTTTTTTTTTTTCTTTGGGGCGTGAAGGGATTTTTGGGGGAGGGCGAGGGATATTTTTTTTCTTTGGGGATGTGGGGGGGTGTATGAGGGGGGGAGGAGTCGGATCTTTTTTTATAAATGTATTTAGAAGACTCACTTTGATGGCGTTAAAAGTGATGGGTTGTAAATGCTTTTGTGTGTGTGTGTGTGTGTGTGTGTGTGTGTGTGCGTGTGCGTGCATGTGTGTGTGTGCGTGTGCGTGTGTGTGTGTGTTCATGTCTTTCTCATATTATTCTTATTATTATTTTATTATTTTTCACTGGCCATTTGTCTGAAATAAACATTCTATTATTATTGTTATTTTGTTATTACTATTGTTGTAGTTGTTGTTGTTGTTACTATTACTCCTAGCTTTAAGCTTTCA